CAACACAGCAGTGAGTGATTTTGTATGTGTGAAATACAGTGAGGAATTTTCCTTTTTTTGCTAATATTCAGTAAAAGATGTTTAATTTATTGCCATTTATTCCTCCTTATTTCCAGCCTTAAAGGCAGCCTGCACCACACGGCGTCGTGCATTTCCAATCTCCATGATATGAATCAGTGGAATTATTTGGAGATAACAGGAGAGAAGACCTTGTCATGATCGATCGTTATCAATAAAATTTCACACAAGATGATATTATCAAATTATGTTAGCCATAACATCCCATGGCATGAAAGTACATCACAATATGTATCACGTCCTCCTTGTATTGTAAAATAGCCTACTTTACATGTCAGTGACCTTAATTGTAAATAAATAATAAATAAATAAATAAATAAATGTTCTATTAAAGACACTTAGTTTGTTACGTTTCTTTATGTATGTTTGAATGTTAGTGGAGCATAGCAGTAGTTTGACATTATGGGAAATATGCTAACTCACTCTTTCCAAGATTTATATGAAAAGATCATTACATTGCATTACATTACATGTCAGACGCTTTTATCCAAAGCGACTTACATACTCAATACTGTGGGCAATCCCCACAGGAGCAATTTGGGGTGAAGTGTCTTGCCCAGGGAAACAACGACATGTTTACTGCAGTGGGGTTTGAACCTGTGCTCCCCTGATCCGAACACCAACGCACAAACCACTGCACCACAGGCCTCATAGTTTTGTTTACTGAAATGGCTTCAAAATAAATTACCACATTGTTGAAAAGGGAGTTATCTTAGTATCTCCACAAACGGCTAAAGAACTTTTTTTGCAATCAGACGCGACTAGGGAATTTTCCGGGAGATGTTCTAAAAGAGACAGGTGCTAAAATAGAGCGTTTCAGGCAAAGGGTGAAAAAAGCTATGTTCAGACAGACAGTATGAGAAAAATATTGTGTATTTTTACATTAAAGCTAGTACATTGGTCTAATATTGTCCCAAAATACAAGTATGACCCTGACAATGAGAAACATGTGTCCCCTTTAAAACAGTCACAGTTTCAGGCATATGCATACTATTCGTATTGCATAATATATTGTTCTGAAACACTTTTGAATATGTTTTCAAATTGCATTGTCATTGTCCGTTTGACTCTGAATGATCATGTTCCACATTTTGGAGTGGATGTAATATATTTTAGACACCATGAATGTCACCTTTAAACCTGTGTGTGATCATCTGTGTCAGCTTCAGCCCTTATGGAAGAGGACACAGTTTTTTTCTTGATAGGGGTAGGATTCACTCCCGTGTCACTCAGGAGTCAGGACAGTGAGACATCAGATATAACATATGCTGCCTTTTAATATGGTTAAAATTCCATTGCTTGTGTGAACAATCTCATTTGATTTGAGGTGTTTCTTAATGAGCTGTAACCTTCAAAAGCAACATTCTAGAGATCATCATAGCTCACTTTTGTAAAAGAAGAAAACTAACTAAATTTAATTAAATGTTTAATACAAAAAAAGTGACATTGTAATGACATAGTGTCCAAATTACCTTTTTTCAACGGCGAAAACATGGATAAAGTGGAAAAGACCGGACAATTATAATGGCATGATCTTGTATGGTATCATTTAAGACTTCAACTTATCTCTCACTGTGGTTTCTAAATACACTTAAAATCTAAATGCAGGTCAGCAGAGTAGGGAGCACAGGGCCTTGTTTACCCAGCTTATCTGGCAGTTTGGTATTTACACCAAAACACTGCAGTGAAGCAAAGAGCACCCGCTGTGAGAAAAAGTCTCACAGTAGATAACAAAACTGTGGCCAGTACTTGGTTTCCGGGGATTTTAATAACTAAACTCGGAGAGGTAAGTCATTATGCTTTATCAAAACAAGTTTGGTTACACATTTTTAGTTATAGGGACGTGAATCATTCTTTAAGAAAAGAGGGAAAGCTCCGGTGGAATCTTCTTCTCCTTTCACTGAGGAGCAGAGCTAAAGAATAACTCAGGTCAGGAGACAGTTGGTTTAATCCTGAGTGAGGGAGGGGCGTGTGGACTCTGTTCAGAGCCAGCTCCTCACTGGTGCTTTGAGTTTATTCAGTGAAAGAGTTAATGGTTTCCTGTGAATGTTGGCTTTGGTTAAAACCCAGGATTATGGGTCACGGACACAACATTTGCTGCTTTGTAATCTCTAATCTGACAGGTGTTAATGTGCAGAGCTGATCAGAACAAGCGGTGTGTCTTTTAAATCAACTTTATACTTCTTATACATAATATTTGATCACATTAATTTATAAACACTACCAATTATATGAAATACAATGACATGGATAAGCACCATTCAGTAGCATAATGGGACATTTCACAATAATATTTCTAACATTTTCAATGCAGGGTTTTTAGTTGTAATAAAGTTGTATTAGTATGATGTACTTCTTCAATCACTGGATAATATAAACCTGACTAACTAAATACTTGGGGAGAATTGTCTAAAAAATAACCATAGGAATCTCAAATCGTGCTTAGCAACAATCTGAGTACCATTTTCTTCAGACTAAATATGTTAATGCTAATGTAGTCTAAATTAGTTTACAAAAGGGCACACAAATCCTTCGTCATGTTTATACAAATGTCATATTTTAATATTACTGATATATTAACAAAATCCTCATACAAATGAATTCACTTCAGAAACACTTTTTGTTATATTCCATGGAATGCTCTTAACATCCCGATGGCAATGAATATATTAAATGCTTTGAGAATAAATACATACAGAAATGTCATCTCTGGAAGCCGTGGCACTGTAAAAAGCACGACCAATCATTTTAGCCGGCCCGGCTAAAATAACTGGATGGTCTACCTGCCTGTCAGCCTTCCATCTGTGCACAAACTTATCTCGTGCCCTCATTGGTCATGTGAGCGTTCGTGTGTTGGAGGAGGGGCTCTGTAAGGAAGTCTGAAGGAAGGGGCAGGTTTTTTCCTGTTGTGTTCTTTCAAATTCTAGCGCACTCGAGCTGGTTCCTCCATTCTTACATACCCTACCTTTAAATGAGCTGTTGGAAACTGGACAACTCATCATTTCCATGTGGAGCTCTAGTATAGGCTTTAATATGCTCTGAATTGGCTCTGAATGCTAACACTTTAATAAAGAGATTTGTCAAAAGTGCAAAATGTATAAACAGGATCCAAATGCAGGTACTGGGACAGGCAGATATGTGAGAACGTTTTTATTGTATGTGACAAACTGGTGTTGGATGTGTTGGGGGAAAAGTGGGGTTCAAGGAATGTAGGCTGGTATGGATTGCAGAGATGGTCTGGTTTTACTGAAACGTTTTGTAGTAGGATAAAGCATTCTGGCAGGAAAGACAAATTGCCATTGGAGCTGTGTTTGAGAAGTAAAGAGCTGTCTTTATTGATAGGCAGGTGTGCTGATTGCTGGTTCTGGCCAGATGAGTTGTGAGACAGGAAAAGAGTGGGGGAAGGGAAACAAGAAAACGGGAAGAAGAAACTTGCACCAAGCACACAAAACTCAAACTAAATAATAATAATAATAGATTAATTTTGTTAGCGCTTTTACAGGTGCTCAAAGACGCTTTACAGATATAGTGAAAAGAAAAGAAAGGAACAACAAATAAATATATAGTTAAAGTTAAAGTCAAATAATACAAAAACAATCACACATTAAAAGCCAGATTGAAGAGGTGAGTTGTAAATGGCAGAACAATTATAAAAAACACAGACAGGATGGTGTCACAGAGGAACTGTGGCAATTTGTCATATACACTGAACAAAAATATAAACGCAACACTTTTGTTTTTGCTCCCATTTTTCATGAGATGAACTCAAAGATCTAAAACATTTTCTATTTACACAAAATAACCATTTCTCTCAAATATTGTTCACAAATCTGAAAAAATCTNCATGACGACTGGATCTGAATTATTGTTTTGTATTTGTGTTTGTGTCCCAGCTGTCGATCAGCAACTATATATCCATAATCCACCAGTTAAAGGAAATACAACTATGTATTTCCTTTAACTGGTGGATTATGGATATATAGTTGCTGATCGACAGCTGGGACACAAACACAAATACAAAACAATAATTCAGATCCAGTCGTCATGACTCCACTCCGGAGGATTCCCCGATCATTTGTTACAGTTTCTCATCAAGGGGGGGTCTCGTGTCCCCGGTACAAACACACTGCCTGAGGAAGGCTGTGTGTATTTATTTTTGTCATTATCCTTTTTCGGACCACTTATTTATTTATGTTGGTGACGATCCGACCTCCATGGTGTTACTCTGGTTCAAACTGCATCCACCAAACAATATGATTTATCTCGACCTCCCCAAAATAACAAAAATCTGACACGGTGTGGGATGTTTTTTTTAGCTGTTCTGTCGTCATTTCCTGCGATCTTCTTCATGCAGTCAGTCAAAATGAATGAATGAATGGGCGTTTCTTTGACTATTTATAGGCAAATATGGGCGTTACGTGAAGCCCTCAAAAGCTGCACCGCATTTCGAGTCGATTTATAAAGGGAAAACGGCGTAGGATGTGCCGTACGCAAGTCCTACGCCGGTTCGCAGTGTTTTATGAATCGGAAAAATGTCTGTGCATATTTATTTGCGTTGTCCTACGTAAGCAACCTTCCCAAGTCAATCCTACGCAAGGCTTTATAAATGAGGCCCCTGAACTTGGTTGGAGAAACCCTTTCCAAACAACATACTTGACCACAAAGTCTGTTGCCCCGTTGTTAAGGGATGTTTAGATGTGAAAAAGAGAACAGCTGTGGATTCGTACTTGAATATTTGAGGTAAAATAAATGATCCTTAAACAAACATTAGTGAGTACAATGAATCCAGAGTTGCAGGGAAAATAGCTTGCTCAAAAAAAAAAGGAATGACTGCATGGTCAGTTGATGTGTGCTGAGAACACTATGATGCTTTCAGCTGGGACCTTGTTCTCATTCCAGCATTATTGTTTGCGTGCGTTCAGGGAACAGGCTGCAGCGGTTTGGCTCAGAGAGAGAAGAGTCCAGCAGTCTGCTGGAGGCTCAGCATGCAGAGCTAAAGAGGAAGGTGAGACACACTGATTCCTCAATTAATAAAACAAACATACAAATATATTTAATATTGCATTTACCCATGAGATTTAAGCATATACATTTTCAGTTGTACATTTTCTGGGACCCTGATTTAAGCAGGGTGTTTAAAACAAGATGAAACTGTTTACATTTTGATGTAAAACAGTTGCAATACAAAGTATAACGAGAGCAAAACTAATGTAAAATAAGAATAACTTGAAGTGGTTTTATATCACTAATACCATAAACTTAAGACTGTTATTTTCTCTTACTTAATTTATAAGTACATTTATTCTAAATACAGGATTTTCCCTTTTTAATATTGCTTTGCATGCTAATAAACCATTTTGATACAGACTATGCCACTTTTTTTAGATGTATGTGTTCAGCTTTTATTACTTAACAATGTGTGATTGTCAGTGTTACAGACACATATCAGTCTGGACAATAAAAATGGTGCTGGTTGATGCCCACATATCAAATATAGAAATGTACTTGTAGCAGCTGAGAACAATCTCTGGTTAAACACGTCCTGTTGATTTTGTATGTTATTAGCTGAAGGAGGTGGAGGAGGAGATTATGTTGAAGAGCGGGGAGATCCGGGTCCTGCGGGACTCTCTGGGAGGGGCTCAGCAGGAGAAGGAGACCCAGAGGCAGAACCAGGTCCTGCTGGAGGCCCAGAAACAGAAAGAGCATGAGAACAGGGAGAAGGAGCTCAACAAGAAGGTAAGGAGCTGAAACACACTCACATGTAAATGACATATGCTCTCAGAATAACATGACAATGACATGTTCTCTTTCAGGTTCAATCTTTGCAGTCAGAGCTGCAGTTCAAAGAAGCAGAGATGAACGAGATGAAGACCAAACTGCTCAACTCAGACAAAAACAAGACGCCCTCTCCATCGCTTAGAAACAGGTCAGTCATCAACAATGTTACTACTACTGTATAAACTATGTCCAGGACAAGGGGTTAGGAGGTTTTGATTTATTTTTAACCCCACTGAAGATTATGGAGACATGCCACACTACTTACACAGCTGACTTATAGCAACTATTTCTGTATGATGATAATACACAGAATCAGAAATCCTTCATATGTCCCGCAACGAGCACATTTACATTATGACCAGCAAATAGTGCAGTAAGGTGAGGATAAAAAGGATGAAAATGGTTAAGTATGCACACGTTATTAATAACACAATAAGTAAACTAGTATTGTTAGGTCAATATCTTCCACAGCTCCACCTTAAATATCTTCCACCAACCACCACTGGTCTGGAGGGAAGTATTTTTGGGGGAACCTTTACATGAGACCTTGCATTTAAATGGCTTAATCCCCACAAAACAAAATGCCAGGTAAGAATGCATATTTTAACAATGTAATGCGACTTATACTGAAAACAAAATGGGGCCACTCTACGTATGGGTCAATACCATGCTTGAAATTGAATCATTTGGACAGCAAATATTCTAAACATGTCCCTAAACATATTTATTTACAACTACTTAATGGAGGAACCTGTAAACAAACCATATCTTAGTCCAACGATTATCCCCGTGTGGGTTTTTAGCCTGTAGGTCGTTGGTTTCATTTCATGTAGGGATACACATATGGCCTAAGCAGAGAAGAATTGTGGCCAATACGAACAGCCTACACTCTGTGAGTCTGACTAACTAAACCTCAAATCTCTCCTCAGTCTTAAAGTGCTCACCCAGTTGAATCATGGGACAGGCGGCAGCACCTCCTCTCCAACAGCAAATGGATTCATCACCAAGGAGATGTTTGGAGCCCATGTTCCATCCAAAATGACACCAGTGAAGACGCGAAGAGACGGTGGGTCACATGTAGGTGATGACGGTTGGTGTTAAAGCAGATGTGTTGAGGTAAACCAACATTTGATTATGGTGTGTGAATGTGTGTTTTCAGCAGACAGAGGGTCATCCAGCAGCAGATCTGGTGACAGACAGGAAGTGTCTCATCCAGACCCGTTCCTGTCCGTCAGACCTGCACACCTGCAGCACAGAGGTCAGTCTGCAGCGCTGCTTTATGAGAGTCATTGAAAATACCTTTTAGATTAACACAGGTTCCCCAACAGGTTTCTATTTGTTGAACCAGTCTACCTAAAACAGTGAAGTGATAATAGGAAGGGGTGCACATAACTGGTACGCATGCGTGGCAAACATCTGAAATGTGTAACGTCACTTTGTTTCACTAAGCGCCTTTGCGTCTGTTAACGTTGGTGTGTAGTGAACAACAGAATTGTGCCAAAACTACGCCAACTGGCTGCGGAGGGAGACTCCCCTGTGCACATTGTGTGATCCGCGCACACACTGGAGAACTGCGCAAAATCAGATGATCTTCACGTTCTGCAGTCAAGCTTCTGCAGTTTTATTTACAACAAGGTGGAGAAAAACCCACAGCTGCAAACTTACTCAGGGGCTTAATGGAAGAGTTTGAAATCTGACAGAGGTGGAAGAAGTACTCTGATCTTGTGTAGGAATACTCTGTTACAAGTGCATTCAAAATGTTACTCTAGTAAAAGTATTCTCATCAAAATATAGTGAAAGTAGCGACAGTAAAAGTAGTCATTGTGCAGATTTGTCCATTTCAGAATAATAGATATGATATGTTTTATAATGATTGATCATTAAAGTGTTCTCAAAGCTGTTAAAGGTGCAGCTAGTCTGGATGACTTTGTATACTGCAGGGCAGCTTGTGGATTTACTCCAGGTGGAACTAAAGTCTGATTTAACACTTCATTCACATCATTCATCCTGATCTGTAAAGTAACTAAAGGTATTAAATAAATGTGGTGGTCTAAAAGTACACTATTTACCTCTGAACTGTAGAGGAGTAGAAGTACAAGTATCTCAAAATTGTACCTAAGTAAAGTACTTGAATAAGTGTACTTAATTACTTCCCACTTCTGAAATCAGACCTGACTTCAAGTCATGTGAGAATTTCTTAGTATTTGATCCTTCAACTTGGCCTCAGGAAATGCTAGGACTTCACAGTTTTGGCAACAAAGCAAATCTGAGGCTTAAACAGAGACAGGGAGGTGCATCTGCCGCGTCTTCGTCATCTAGCATGCAAGAAGTGTAAATGGAGGACAGTGAGGAAGACTGCACTTATTAAAACCACGCTTCATGTGGGGTGAGTACCAATCACTGTCTCCTGGTACTCATCTGAGTAACTCACTAAAAACGTTATGTGCATCCCTGATAATAGGTCACGTTTTCCTAAGAGCTACTTTAAAGGGTCATTCCTCTTTTCTTTTAAGACTGAAAGTCAATATTTTGTGTGTGTGTGTGTGTGTGTGTGTGTGTGTGTGTGTGTGTGTGTGTGTGTGTGTGTGTGTGTGTGTGTGTGTGTGTGTGTGTGTGTGTTATATTGTGTGCTGTCTTCCAGGAGGTGTCTTGCTGGGGTTGTTGCTGCAGCAGCCTCTCTCTCCCAGCAGCCTCGGCCTGTCTCACCTGCTGTCTATGAGTCTGCCTGACATCCACCTGACATCCAGGTAAACACCCGGTACCTGTTACCATGACAATGCGGGCACTATTGCAGTGTAATATGTAAAACAGAGCACTGTTGGAATTACAGGAAGGTATTTGCTGGAGTATTAAAACAAAAAAAATACTTGTTCAATGTCTGTAGTGTCAAAATAAATGTGGGTCAGGTAGTGAAAAAAAGAATGGCTTTCTCCCCCTCTCATTACCACTACCAAAATGCCTCTCGAGCAAGGCATTTGACCCCCAGCTACATTTGAGCCACACGCGGGTAGGGCTGCCCCCAATTAGTCGACTAAACGTTAGTCGGCGAAAAAAGTATTTGTCGACACATTTTTCATTGGTCAATTAGTAAAAAAAAGAAGATGCATGTGCTATGACGCGTCAGCCGGAACCCCCTCAGACTTCCTTCAGAGCTGTGCCTGGTCATTAAGTTAACTTGGTCAGGCAGGAAATCTAAAGTGTGGATCCTTCTGAGCGAGTAAAGGATGAGTCCCACAAGGTGACATGCAGACTACGACGGCAAAAAGTATCCTCCATACCCACCATCAGAGCGCAGCTTCCTGACTGCCGGCTTCATAACAAAACACGGAGCTTAATTATCCCGACAACGTTGTGTGTTACTTTCTCATACTCTGAGGAAAACAGCAGTGAGTCAGGCAGCAGCCTATCTTTGTATATCAACATAGTATATATAGACCTATAATATATAATCATTCTGATGAATAGGTGCGGAAGGATTTTTGTCGACGCTCATATTTTCAGTGTTTCCGTTTCCTCTGTAGTATTTATTGGGTTGTTATATTCAGATATGAATAAAAGAAACTAGAACTAAATGTTCCGTGTGTCCTCGCTGCTAGTTCACACACAATAAGAATCCTTACCGGAGCTTCTGCTGTTTACACCGCTGCGTCTGTGCGCTGTGACTCTCATGTGCTCTCAACATTTAATTTATATTTCAAAGGTTCATTATTACAGTTTTATTCTAGATTTCATGTGAAGCACAACGTACCATGCTGTTATAAGGCTCTCTATCAGCCTTTGAAACTGAGACCATTTTGTGAGAATAAAATATATATATGTATTTATAATAATATATCATAAACGTGCAACAATTATTCGACTAATCGCCTTAATTGACGTCTATTGGTCGACTAGAAAAATCTTTAGGCGAGGGCAGCCCTACACGCAGGAGACAAAACAGAATAAAGGCTCATGAAAAGTCTCTCGGGTTTAATAAAGTTAAAAAGTGAAATCATGCTTGAAATGTAAAAACACACCTTCATATGTGACAATAAAAACACAATCTTTTGGTGTCATAATTGCCTCCTCATTGTATGTATTTTATAAATGCGGTTTTTAAGTACCTTAACCCAATCCCCTCAACTGCCACTTGGGAGCGCCGAATCCACTGAAATTCAAATCTTCAGACCCAAAACTTTAACATAAATAACTTTCATTTGATTGAAGAATGTGTGGTTGTAGGAATATGAGTAGTTGCAACTCCAGCACAAAGTCAAATAACTGTTTAAAAATACTAACTAATGTGCTGTTGTGATTTCAGTGGGCTGTCTTCAGGCTTTCTTCTCCACTCTGCTCCTGCAGCCAGCATTAATGTTGGTGTAGGTGTAGCTCACAGAGCTGCTCTGAGCCCGGTCCAGAGTCTGGCTGTAACGGGACTCAACATGCTGAGCCAGAACCGACCGGCAGCTGCAGCGAGCAGCAAGAATAAAAGGTAGACTGACTGAGACACTAAAGCTGCTCTGATCAACTGCACTACCTTCTCACTGAAGAATCCACGACAAGTAAAGATAAACATTTCTGTGGACAACAGCACCCTCTTGTGGCCAACTGCCAACAGCAGCACTGAAATCACATTAGTTGACACCTTTTTGTTTATGTAGATCAGCGGTTTTCAAAGTGTGAGGCGCGCCTCCCTGGGGGGGCGCCAGAGAGCTTCAGGGGAGGCTATAACGAGAAAAAGATGAATAAAGTGACCTCGACAAAAAGGCTGTAAAAGTGCTCATTCCCTTCACCTCCACCCAGGGGCGGTCTGGCCATCTGTGTGTTCTGGAGAATCACAGAACGGCTGGTCGTCAGCGGGTCGTCAGTTTAATAATTTATTTGTTATGTTTTTAAACGGCATCATTTAAGTTGCGCTGACTGGCGACAGAGGTCTGTTCAGTGAGCACTTGACAGTTGGTCCCCCCCGCCCGCCACGAGGCATCACTTGACAGTTGCCC